TATACTATTTACTTTTGTGACAGTCATCACACTTGAGATATAAGTACCACATGCAGGAGTAAATGGCCAAAAGAAAACTGCAAGTGGTCAGGTCACTCAAAAGGTCATAATCATCTTAGACTTCTATGCTGACATATGTTTCTCTTGTTCAGCCTGAATTTTAATGCCAGCATTTTCAAAGCTTTAACATTGACATATGGATTGGAAGAATAACATGGTCTGCACGAGTCTATGAAAGCCATACAATCCCTGGTTTACTATCTGAAATCTTGTGATATCTGGATGAATTAATAATGAGAAGTGGAATTGTTAAATGCGGAAGAAGGCCAGACTGTATGTATAGTAAATTGAACAATACAAATCTGTGATTGTGGATACACAAAGTTATCAGATCAAATGGTGTACGTTATGAAGGAATAGAGGGTGAGGAGGTATGATAGCTACTGGTGAGCTTGGACTGTCTCTGCATCTGAATTGTTCAAGATACTAGTTTCTCTTCATAGCCATAGTAACACTCGAGGAACTACGTCAAGTGAGGTGGCTGAGTGAGCTGGAGGATACACCTGATGGTCCAGCACCATACTAGGATAGTGTTTGGGAAGTCAACTGTGGGCCATATCTGTGTCTGGGAGCACCCTGAGTTTTGAGAATAGGCAAGACTACATCCCAGTTAAGGTTGAACAATCAGAGGTAGTATCCCACTACAATAATTTGATTGTTGATGTTATTTTACTAGTCAAATCAAGCCTGCCCCAGTGGAGCACCCAGGTACAGATTTGTCTAGACTATGGTTCAAGTTTCATTGCAATCTTATTAGGATGAATGTCAGAAGCCTGGCACAGACTACAAGCATACATTAATTGGAAGTTTCAGTGAAGAATGCCAAGACAATGGGAAGAAAGTTCCACTGGGAGGCAACAATACCTTGAGTATCACAACCTAACCTACACTCATTGACAAATGGTTGGTGAAGTGTTGTATATGTAACAGTAGTGGCCCTTCATACAACCTCACCACAAGGGAGGCTTTTTCAAGAAGTAACAAGACTCATTGAGGTTAATACTTAGTGGAGGAAGCACCGAGAAAGGTGGTGGAGGCTTAAAGGAGGTAAGGCTCAGCTAGGAGCATAGGGATGCCTTCAAAGGAAGTATAACTCATGCAGAAGGAATGAACACCAAGGATACTGTTATGGGCAGCACCAAATCAAACACAGGGAGAGGCCAGTCACTTACTTACACTAGAACAAAAGAGGGCAACACAAAATAACAAGGCTGAGACTCTGAAAACAAATCCAGCAGTCTCTCATACTTACAGATGTCTTAAGTAAAAGAAGAGTTCAAAAACCTCCTGACAGTAAATCAAATAATAGTCCTAGTATGAGTTTTATAGGTTGTGTCATAATACAATATTGGTAGAACTATGCATAAGGTTGAATGTGAACAGAGATGAGCATGGGTCACCCTGGCAGGTACCTGCATCCTTGACACAGGTACCCTTGGCTCTAAAACTCAGACCCACATTCTTTTCCAACCTGTGGGAACAGGTACCCATGGGTATCTATACTGAGAATATCTGCAACAAAACTATCAAGATTGGTTGTTGAAGTACACAGATAGTACCTATGGGCTTTTGCATGGAAACAGGTACCCTTATCCATGGGTAGACAAACCTGTGGGTATATAGCCAGGTCTACCTGTGAACATCCATGGGTTTGGCCAACCCTGCTCATCTCTGAATTTGGAAGAAGCCAGAAGAATTTTATAGCACTATGGAATTCTTGGAATGCAAGGACTTATACATAACCTTGCAAAATTTTAAAATCCAAAATAAACAGATTTAGACAGTTTGGTGGGGGAAAGCCCATTGTGTTGGACCAAAGCCATGAATTGAGCTCCACAGTGTGTTCAATTTACCCACCTGAGGACAAATCTTCTTCCCTTCTTGGAGTTGTGGTAGGTGTTGACTTGAATAATAAACTAAGAGGCAAGGGTATGACTATGGGTTGAGTAAATGGGAAGGGAGGTACTCATAACAAGAAACAAACACTAGAGCATGTGCTCCTCATGGTGTATACTGACAGTTTTTTATTACCAGAATATACTGACATTTATCTTAATAACATGAAAAAATCATGTCCAGAAAGCCAAAAGATTCAGACTTCTTTTTTGAGTATCTGCATGACATTTGGGAGGAAGATATCTAACTTCAGAGTTATGTGCTGCCCCAACATCTGCAATGACCTGTCAAAGCAACTGAGGAAAAATGTTGGTAGAGGGTTACAAAGTTCATTGCTCTACACAGAGGGCAGTTTGATTGAGACAAACAGAAGGCTTGGTTCAACTTTTGAGTTTGAGGGCTTACAGAGAAAATGTATACAAAATCTTGAAATCAGGCTGCTACAGGCAGAGAAAAATCCTAAATATGGACTTTGAAGGTCTGAAGAAAAGGAGTTCTCAGTGTCAACATTGACAGTGAGTAGATGAGCTGAACAGGCTCCAGCTAAATTCATTACTTTATTCTATTTTGCACTACTTTTCACTAAATCTAGAGCTGGCATGTGTCCAGGATAAGTGGGGAAGGTGGGAACTCTTCTGGTAGCTACTTTCTTCTTCATGGTCATTGAGCTGGTGGTGTTGTGGGAGTTGATGGATGATGGTGAAGTAGTTGTTCAAATTGTCATAAACTTGGTTGTTTCTTTTGAGATTTAACCAACTGCCAGCATTTGATGAAGCATAGTATAATTCAACTCAACTTTTTACAAATAGTAAGCTTTTACCAAAGATTGAGGCCTAAAAACTTACAGATCTTATTATTGGTGTTGATCTTTTGGAATTTTCCATTGAACTGTTCTCCTGGCATTTCAATTATTGGGGTTAAAGGCTCCCAATAGGCCAGAATTTCTGGGTTATATGCAGCAAAGTGATCATTTGGTTTTGAGCAATGAAAATGACAGCAGATGGTGTTCAATATGCAGCATAATGTATTGGATACTGCTCAATTTTTCCCAAGGAGGTAGAATAAGGAAGAAGTAATAATGATTGCTGCAAGCAGATGATGGAAGTTGCCAAGGAGTTGTATATAAATGTCTTCACTCTAGGGATAAGACCAGAGCTCTGGGATTACAAGTGGGAATATGACAGTAAAGAGCAAATGATACTGAGCAGTCTTCAATTTTTCATAGTGTGCATCTCCAAGCTTCTTTGGAGTCTTGTGATGTGAGAAGGAAGAGGAACGTCTGTAATACAGGCTCAAATTTTGTTCTATAAGCTTATCAGTGAATGCAGGTCCAGAAGGGTCGGGTATGGTGAAGGAGAAAATGACATATCTGTGTCATCATGATTTGTCCCCATCCTCTAGATTTTCCAGCATGAAGCTATATGCTGTTGTTATTTTGATGAAATGGAGGCTGAGCTGTGATACTTCTCCATAAATTCCCTCTCTGTCTCTGGTTCTTGAGAACCAAGTGACTTGACCTCACCTGCTGCCTCTTTCATATCTTTCTCAGTCATATCTTCATCTTCATCAATAATATAGAGCTCTATATTCCATTTCTCTCTTGAAGGTGAGACTCTGTTACAACTTGAGCACTAGACAAAGTGCCAACAGCAAACTTTAACACAGTCTCTGTGTAGAATTGCATCACATTGGCAGGGCGGCCTTGACCGTTGCTTGCACTGACTTGGTAAATACTTACATCCGCCGCTCTCTGTGCCTCTCATTCGTGATCAACAAATTAAGCTTGTTATGCTCGATACCACTAAATTATCTAGGAATTCCGCTTTGGAATGAATAAAGGGTGAATGGGAACATCTCAGGCCTCCCCTCGCAAGTTCCCCGACTTCAGATAAGCCTCGTTATCAGTTAGCCCCCTCCCCCGCCAGGAAATGAAGAGAAGTTGGATTCATCAGCAGGTGTCAGGGAAGATGTATTGCTAATGGTCATACACTCTGACATTTGCAGAAGCTGAGAAATCGAAGGTTGCTCTGAACACATTACATCAGAGTTCTAAACTGGTTGAGGACACTGAGCACACTGTATTATATGAGAATAAACCTTGACAGATGTATGATTCTGTTATAATAGACTTTTTAAAGCTCCTCTACGGTCATAATGTTCATCTTGCATCATGCAACTGGCACATTTTGTAGCATTTCTTTTTTGATAGCAACAGCTCAAAAAGTTGACCCCACTTACCAGTGCAAGAACTTTCTGCACTGTTTAGGTTCAAACAGAACTCAACTAATGCTTGCATATATTGTGCTTGCGGTCTAACTTCTTTCGACAGATTATGCTCCATATGGTCTGTATCAAGGGTACATTACAAATAAAGCACCTCCACAACTTGATACTTCTATATCCTACTTTCCATGGTCACTTTTGATAAGAACAAAAAGGGATAAATCTGCTCACAATGCTCCCTCACAACTTTATATTTGGATAGGTGGTCTTACGGTCTATTTTAGGGACATTAATAGTCATCTTCAGCACCTTTACTGCTTGTTCACAAGAGATTGTTCTCTATACATCAATGGGCACTGATGACAATTGATGGCATTTCGAACAGAGTATGTTTGTGTTGTGGATCCAAGTTGAAGGAGGCACTAGTGTAGAACATTATGGAAAATTTTCTCAGATTCTTTCTTTGACTCATGTCATAGTAACTGTTTGACATAGTTCATACTTGATACATACAGAGCATTCTAAGTACTGTGCTTGTTATACTGGCTATTTCAGTCCGTGATACTACAGGCTAGTTCCTCCAACATTACTATTTGTATATAAGCTACAGCTAGTCTACAGAATCAACTGGTCACCCGTCTGTAGTTAACCTTATTGGTTCAGTCACTGTTGTGACTGTCTAACCTCATTCTCTCATATCTATGTCGTACCTCGAGAATTAGTAGTTTAAAAATGAGAAAAGGAGTTGCGAGAAATCTGAAACGTAAAGCAATTGCAATTAACTGATACACAGCGAAAAGAGAAGGAAGGGGTTGTATATATACACCGTTCGGGAATCGAACCCGAGCCGCTTGCTTAATCTACCCGACTCTTTCTCTAGTGGAAGGCAAGCATGATAACCACTTCACCAACGGTGTATGTACAATTAGCACACATCAAGGCAACATGACATGCACTCAATTGTGTTACGCTGAGGCGAGGTCGGGCTCCACCGGTACTGAGACTCGGCGAACGTCACGAGCACATCAACTAGCATCGATGTCGCTCGATGTCACCCGAAACTTGAGCATAAGGAACCAAATTCTCTAGTGCCATCGAGTTGAACGAAAGGTATTTCTTGTCATATCTTGCGACATTGTGTCTATTTGCTTCCGTTCAATATTGCCACTTTTCCTTCGTTTAATCGCACCATTCGGTTTGAATAGGAATAACCAATTGTATTCGTTCTAGACTAATCGACAGGAATACATAGTACAGAGAATCCCACTACCTACCACTGTAGACGACGTGAGTAAGTACACGGAGTAGATCTACGGGTAGGAAAATAAGTATGCGTATGCAATAAGTAAGAATAATGAAGATACTCACCCTCAGCAGATAGTAGAACAGCTGAGGGTGAGGGCCGAACGAACTGAAAATTATATACTGTGGTCCGGGTATACCTACGGAACTATATAACCCCAGGCGTGCACCACCCAGACCTAAACCTATATTCCGTTCCTAAACCTATCACCCGTTCCTTACTACACCTCACTCCTCAACAACCACGATTATCACCGTTTTCTCAGCTCACAACAGCTCATTTCGCCACTGCCCGCTGCAAGTACCAGCTGTGCTGCCCATGTGATTGTTCTTCAGTTCAAATTAGTTGTGTAAAATAGAAACATTAGCCTGCAGTGATTCTAGAGACAACATATCGGGAGCGAACAGACAAGTAATCCGTGACTGTGGGCCGAAACTTGATCCCGTTGTCATCATTCTTTTAAGGGATTGTCACGAGCTCGGGACCATTCAAACTCTACACATAACTAAAGTAAGCTACCAAAACAACAAGAGCGGCCACCCACACACACCTTTGTTCTAGATCAGCTGGATTTCAACACCTGCTCCTCGCCCAAATGTAGCTTCAGTAGGGACCATTATTAGATGACCCCAAGTTGTATCTTCTGTAGTATATAACAGGTGTTGACGTCGCGTAGAACTAGGAGAAAACCAAGGACTTGCCTAGCGGGTTGCTTAAACCTTTCTGAAAGAGAGATGTGGGAAGCCATCGCACCAGATCGTCGTGTATTTGGAGGGGTCTGAGCCGCTAAACGTAGTAAGAATAGACGCCCCGAGTAAAATTTCTGTGAGCTATGAGAGACTACGTGTATCAGTACAAGTAACGTAATGAAGGGAAGGGAAGAAAGCAGACCTTAGCAATTCAGGGAGGGGAAGATGGTGGTAGAGGGGAAAGAAGCTCGTCACGTCATATAACGTCTATGACAATTTTGCAAAAGTCACGGAAACTTGGTTTATTTTGATGAAAATCACGCGAAAGTATCAAAAACAACGTTGAACTGCTGACAACCTTGTCAGGTCGAGTGTGGTCGTGGTAAAACAAAGAAGAAGTAAAAAATGTTTCATTGTGTTTCGTTGGAGTTTGAGATAGCTTTGGTAGGTACCTTTCTGTGACTCGACCAGGCTCGATCTCAGGAGGTCACGTCGCTGAGACTCGGTGGAGCCCGACCTCGCGAGACGGACTTTCTGCTGGGAATGACTCTGGATGCCAACAGTCAAGTTTATTTCCTCGAGTTATTGACCCTGTCCGACCTTGGTTTTGCCCCTGTGTTCGGTACATAGTCGGGCACGAAGGTTAAGAAGGATGAAAAACTGCGGCGGGAACTAATTTACGCCTCTCAAACTGAAATGCTACCACTTGGCAACTGGTCTGAAACTTTGGCGTACCGCCCGTCCGGCCAAGTATTCGTTGAGTCTCAGACGGAGAACGTCGGAGGTCTGTGGAATATTGTATCTGGCGCACAAATATCGTCTCAAGGTATTCTGATCATGGGTCGGCTTCAAACAATCCCCGCATTTCTTTGTGAGGTTACGTTCTTCCAAATCACTGCGCCCACTGGATCCGATCTAAATACCGTAGTACGTAATTGTTGGTTAACTGGGCGCTTAAACCCTTTAAGGCTTTGACGCTCAGCTCGGTCAAGACCGACATGTATGGAAAAATCCGTCAACAAGGTACAAGGTACGACACCGACCTCTCCGGTCGGAATAAGTCACAAACTATAAGGCTCCAGTGCTCCAGTGAGTAACCTTTCAAAATAGTCGCCGACGTTCTTCGTCAGCTACTGTCGAACGGTCGCTTTCCATCTCCGGACTTGATCACGCAGCAGAACACCCCTACGTGGAATTTTCTTTCTCAACTTCCTGGCCCGAAAGCTTACGAATAGCGCTTGTTAGGCTACAGGCCTCGACCGGCGACCTATTATCCCCATAGCCAATATGAGCGGATCGGTCGAATTGATAGACCGACCATTGACAGGTGCTCGATCAGGAGCTTGATGTTGCAGTCCATTCAATTACGGGATTCGGTTCGTAAGCACTTTGTGGTCACTGTGACGAACGGTCTGTGTTGAAACACTGGTGCAGTATGCGCAAGGCGATCAGTGAAAAGCCCTTTACCCGCCGGATTTTTAGCACATGATTCCCGTTTTTCCATCTTTCCATACGGAAACGAGCGAGAGTACTTAAATACACCCATGTTTTGACGGTCCCCTCTCATTCCCAATTCCATCTCCTCATTCTCAGAGCTCTGAGCTTGAGGCATCATGAACCCAGGATCATATAGAACAAGAATAGCTCTCGACTTCCTCCAACTCCTCATTCTCCCTTCCCTATCCCTTTCCACCTTCCTCCGCCTCTCTTCAATTCACCTAAACTGGCTACTCGCACCCCCCGCACACTTACTCTTCATTCTCACCTTTGTGTGGTGTAAAGGCCAGATATCCCGTTTAATCCACGCACGGGCCCGGTATCAGCTGGGAGCTAGAGAGGTTCCTTGTGTCGTTGGAAGATGGCCTGGGAACTTGGATGTATTGCTAAAGATGATCAAGTCATTTGGAAGGAGTTATATTATGGATGTTTACCTCGAATTATTTGAAGAATATCAGTGTACAACATTAAACACTAGGATCTTGTGGTCTGACACCGTGAGTCTGCGTCCACTTTCGCTTCGGTTAATCGGTTGCGAGATCGAGTGCTAACTGCGAGAGTAGATCATAACAATGGATCAAGAACATGTGAAATACATCATGGCTACTGGGTTCAATAACTTTTGGAGGGGAAAGTATCAAAAGGAACGAATGTATGTTGTTTCTTCCGGGCTTTCCTTCCACGTTTCGTCCAGTTGACTTCGTGGGATTACCTCGTCTAGGGAAACATTTTTAGGGAAGGGGATATTCAATAGAGATGATGACGTGAGTCTTTTCTTTTCCGCCACCCCAAACCCTCATACCGACTCCGAGATACCCGCTTTCCCAAAATACCCTTCTATTTCCCAACGCATGCTAACCGTATCCTCCAAAAAAACGACAACAACCAGATATGGCGTACGCACAGATCAAACACACGCCCATTCTTCGCTCGCGAACGGATATCAGATTTTGAATGTTTCGAAAAATATACTTCCAGGACCTTGGGCATCATATCCGGATCTAACTTTTCCCACCCCTGCGCCCCAAACCCCCTCAACTCGTCTGTTGAACACTCGGAGTCGGCGCCCATAGACGCACAAGACCTGTATTCCCGATTCACGATCGACGCTGCGTCTGATTCTTTTTTCGGGAAGAACCTCGATACGCTTTCATGCCCTCTCCCGAGCTCAGGATCAAGTACACTTAGTCCGAGAGGCTCGCTCTCTTCCTCCACTAAAGACCAGGATGGAAATTCAAACTGGGATTCTTTCACCAGCGCTTTTGAGGCATGCCAACAAGTCGTAACATCTCGTGGCCGCCTGGGTTATTTCTGGCCGGTGCTTGAATTGTTCAAGGATAAGAATAAGGAGAATGTGGATGTTGTACATGGGTTTTTGGAGCCGCTGGTAAAAGAAGCGTTGGATGAGAAGGAGAAAAGCAGAGGAGTGGTCTCTCCCGTTGGGGAGAAAACGTTTTTGCAACATTTGTGTGAGAGTACGGATGGTACGTTTTGGTTTGAAACCTGTACCTTGAGGACATTACTTATCGTTTGTGTAGATCCGATTGTTATTAGGGATCAACTGCTAAGCTTTCTGCTTGCTTCGAGGGATACGGTGCGTCCATTGACTTGCTAAAAATCCCTGTCAATCGCTCATAACACATTTTGGACAACAGACAGCATGTCTCTTGACCTACGTCACATACTTCATGGCTATTCACCCAGAAGTTTGTCAAAACCTCCGAGCGGAGGTTCTGGAACACTGTGGACCTACCAACGCCCCCACGTACGAACAGATTCGGGGGATGAAGTATCGTGAGTTCCTCTTTTCCTCCTCTTTTCTGAATCTTCACAATTAACGAAAACATCCTCCGCCCCCGCCCTGCACGCAACGAATCAGTACGAGCAGTGATCAACGAAACACTACGACTCTTCCCACCCGTCCCATTAAACGTTCGAGAGTGCCGCCACTCATGTACTCTTCCTCCCTCCGATCCGACTTTCACTCAGAGTCACTCCTCCTCCTCCTCCTCCCCTCCATTCTGTAATTCACAAACCGGAGCAATACCCACCTTGTTGAATCTCCCAGACCCTGATCCACGCCCTCTATACATCCCCCGCAACACCCCAGTAATGTTCTTCCCCCTCCTAATCCAACGAAACAGATCCCTCTGGGGTCCAGACGCCGAGTCTTTCGATCCTCAAAGATGGATCAACCGGGACCGAGTGAAAAAATTCGTCGAGAATCCAACCATGTGGATGCCTTTCAGTCTAGGTCCCCGAATATGCGTGGGGCAGAATTACGCTTATAACGAGGCTTCTTATTTTCTGATAAGGTTGCTACAACAGTACGATGGGTTCAGTTTGGCGGACGAGTGTCAGCCTGAGGGGTCGTGTCCTCCTGAGGAGTGGAAGGATCCGAATAGGAAGGGAGGATGTGAGAGGAAGA